AATTTTTCATGTGTTGATGATAATGAAATGTTTGGTCTGCCTGTCCCCTCACAGGGCAGCCTCTCTTTGCCGCATTGTTTCAAACTGTTCCCCAAGGAACATGATTTGGGGTAGCACTCAAGGTGAAGAAAGCAGATTGCCCGCAGCTTCCCGACATCTCCCTCTTGGAAAGCATCCCTTCCAGGGCCAGGTGCTTAGCTGTCCCCAAGGGATATGGCAGTCTCCCTGTCATCTTACTATGTATCTTCAGGTTAGTTGAATTTAAGACTAAGCTTTGTTTTGTTGTTTTTTGAGACAGAGTCTCAATTCTAGCCCAGGCTGCCCTAAACTGGTGGTGATCTTCCTGCCTCTGCCTTCAGGGTTCAGGAATTACAGGTTTAAATCACCATACCAAATGACAAATTTTTAAGACTCGAAGAAAACAAGTGATTTTTTCCCCCCTGTAGGGACAGGGAATTGGAGAGTTACTTTAAGACCATGCACGTTAGGGCTGACGAGGTAGCTCACCAGGTTAAGGCACTTGCCACCAAGCCTGAAGGCCTGAGTTTGATCCCCCAGAACCATGTGAACATTAACTCTCTCAAGTTGCCCTCTGACCTCCATGTGCACTAGGACACGTGTGCATGTGTGCTCACAAGTATGTCTTAGGAAAGCAGAAACAGGACTCTAGGGATGGGGATCAAAGCTAGCCAGTGTCTGTGGCAAGACCCTGTCACAAAATGGGGTAAAATGCGTGCTGGCCCGCACCAGGGAGGCAGAAGCAGGCCAATCTCTGTGAGTTCAAGGCTAGCCTGATCTACAAAGGGAGTTCCAGGAAACCCAGGGCTGTTACACCTTGTCTTGAAAAACAAAACAAAAAAGGAAAATAATTACAAAATGGGATCTTAAATATATATATATATATATATATATATATATATATATATAATCATTAGTTGAACTCCAGGCTGCTCATGCATCCTCAAATTAGAAGCTGTTACTTATTCTACTTTCTCTTTAGCCTCCTCAAAACAATCCCAACCCTAATGAAGGCTGCCCCTGGGTGGGATTAAAAGGACAGGTTAGCCTTGCACTCTGCTGTCAGGTAACACTCGCCCACATCATCTTGAGCCTCATATTAGCTCTGGATCGCTAGTGCAGATATTTTCAGATGTTAATCTGTAGTCTCTGCAATGTCATTTAATACAGAAATGTGTAAGAGGATTTTCTTCTTACACAGGAGAAAGATTAAGTTGTTTTCGGATTGAAATATTGTGCTTTGGGTAACTTGTAATAAACAATGAATGGGCTGGGAACATGGCCTAGAGATAAGGTGCATTATAGGCTTTGTGTATATGAAACCTTGTGTTTAATCCCCAACACCAAGCCAAAAACCAAAACCCACCAGGCTAAGAATTACTCCTGTGTTCCAGATACTCTTCTGGGTACCAGGCATTAATTGAAGAGTGTTTACGGTATGTTAAAGCTCTTGATTCTTTGACCAATCTGAAAATTTAGTCTTTGGATTAAAAAATATTTTGGAAACTGTCTAGTATGTATGTTCTGGTAAAGAGATTTTACCTGTTGGAAATCAGTACTGATTTATATGTAAGCAATGGGACTGGTGAACTTTGTTTCAGTTGAAGGTTAATTGTTGTATTAAAAATCAATTGGAGGGGCTGGGGAGGTAGGGCAGTTGAAAGAATTCTTGCCTAGCATTCATGAAGCCCTGAGTTTGATCCTTACTTGAATGTACTTATGATGTTAGCACTTGGAAGGGTAAGGCAGGAAAATCAGGAGTTTTGAGGTCATCTTTGACCACATAGTGAGTTTGAGGTCAGCCTGGGCTACATAAGACCCTGTCTCAAAAAAAAAAAAAAAAAAAAAAAAAAAAAAGCACTGTCAAAATATAATAAAACAATCACTGATAACCCTGCCATCTAAATTCTGGTGTCGTTTTCATATACATGGAATTATTCTACTAATAAAATAAGATACAGAAGCTGGTAGGATAGCTCATTGTTTAAGAACAGTTGCTGTGGGGGGTGGAGAGATGGCTCAGTGGTTAAGAGCACTGTCTGCTCTTCCAGAGGACCCTGGTTCAATTCCCAGCACTCGCATGGCGGCTCACAACTGTCTGTACCTCCAGTTCCAGGGGATCCGACACCTCACACAAACGTAATGTGTGAGGCAAAACACCAATGTACATAAAATAAAAATAAATACATTAGATATATTTTAAAAAAAGAGAGCAGTTGCTGCATGATCCAGAGTACCGGAGTTCAGATCCCAGCATGAATATAACAGGACAGGTGCACCCCACACACCTGTGATCCAGCTCTGAGTGGGAGGATCAGAGCTGGATCAGAAAGGGACAATGGCTGGGGCTTGCTGGCTTCCAGCCCGCACAAACAACCGAAAGCCCCGAAACAACCAAAGGACTAGGAGGAGTGTGCTAGAGAAAGACAGTCTGCAGCGTCTTCTTGACTTGTGCAAGCAAATCGGTATGCATTCGGGGTGCGTGTATGTTGCTGGCATACGCACACACAGACAATAAAAAATTAAAAGCATACAGAAGTTGACAATCTCCTTTTTCAATTCATTATATCAAGGGTGATTTTGTGTGTCATTAAAAATCTTGTAAACGGGGCTGGAGAGATAGCTTAGCAGTTATGAGCACCTGCAGACTTTCCAATTCCAGAGAATCTGAGTTCAGTTCCCAGTATCTACCTTTAGTGGCTCAGGACTACCTGTAACCCCAGCTCCAGGTGATCCAGTGCCCTTTTTGACCTCTGTGGGTACTGGCACACACATTAAGAAACATCTTAAAAAATAAAAGGGGGGTCGGGGCTGGAGAGATGGCTCAGGTTAAGAGCACTGGCTACTCTTCCAAAGGTCCTGAGTTCAATTCCCAGCAACCACATGGTAGCTCATAACCATCTGTAATGAGATCTGGTGCCCTCTTCTGGCCTGCAGGCATACATGCAGGCAGAACACTGTATACATAATAAATAAATATTAAAATAAAAATAAAAAGGGATGTGATGGTAAATGTATATGCTTCCAAATGTTAATGCTAGTGTAGCATTTTTTAAAAAAAAATCTTGTGAATAGCTGAGCACAGTGACACACACCTTTAATCTCAGTACTCGGGAGGCAGAGGCAGACAGATCTCTGTGAGTTCAAGACTGGCCTGGTCTACATAGTTGAGTTCTGGGATAGCCAGGGCTATGAGAAAAGACCCTGTCTCCAACAAACAAAAAAACTGTAAACACTTTTGTAACTACATAATTCATCATGTGCATATAAGTAATTGATTTTTTTGTGTTCAATATTTAAACCATGTCTGATTCATTGTTGCCACCATAAATAATAGCACAGGTGTTTTCTATGATCTCCTTAGGATGAACCCACACAAATTAATATTAGATCAAGGATATGGTCTCTTCCAGGTGAAAACAAACACTGCCACATAGTCCTCCAGAAAAGCTGAGGCAGTGAGCAGTCTTGGTACAGCTTGCCTGTTTTGCTATATCACTGATAACACGGATGTTACCTGGTCCAAAACTTGATGATTTAATCACGTTTAATGGACTGTGATTTTAATTATTTATTTACTTTGGGTTTACTATTTCAATCTATAGCTCATGCTGGCCTGGAACTCACTCTGTAATAATCCTCCTGCCTCTTCGTCCTGAGATTATAGGTGTGTGCCGCCACACCCACTTAAACTGTGTTTTTAATGAATTCTGAGGTCTAATTGTCAAAAGGAAAAAAACTGCCTGTTTTAAAACGTAATACAAACAAGGGAAATGTAAAAGATATCCACAAAATGAATGTATGCTAATGTTCTGACTGAAGAAGTGTCACATAAAATAAAAATGTTGTTATTGTATCTTTGTGGGAAAGATCAAGATACCATGAAACATGTAAACATCAACTTATCAGGCGAAAAGTGAAAGCAGAAAAACATAGCTATAAAAGCGCAGGATAACTGCTGTTGTCATTTCAGAAGACTTAAAAATGAATGAGGTGAGAGACTGCAAGACTGATCTGCAGTGACCGCATCCATAGGACACAGTGACTTCACAAAAGAACCTCTCCCTTTGAATGGGAGAGGTCTGGGCCTGCTGGAGACGGAAACCTGTGTCATGTGTGATGCCCTCGGAGGCCAGGAGAGGGTGTTAGTTAGAACCGCAGATTCAGATGGTTGTTAGCCCCCATGTGGATGCGGGCACCGAACCTAAGTCCTCTACAAGAGACATCGCTCCAGCCCACTAACCCCCATATTTTTTTTAAAGATTTATTTTCTAATAAGACTATAATAAAGGTGTTTTCTCTGCGTGTCTGTGTACCCAAGGTTTCTTTTTAATTTATGAGTACGTGTGTTTGCCTTTGTGAGTTTACGTGTGCTTGAGTACAAGAGCCCAAGGAAGTCAGAAAAGGGTGACAGTCCAGAGCCTGAACCCCGGGGCCCTGCAAGGGTAAGCAGGATTCTCAACTGCTGAGCTGTCTCTCCAGCGCCCTCCCCTTTGGTTGAGCCTCCCCTCCCCAGGGCTGGGTATGTAAGCATTTACCCGCCATGCCTGGTCTGATCGTTTCTTTAATTCTTTTCCTATTTCAAATTTTTCTTTAATTCCTTTCATGGAAAATAAAGAACTGTAGTTAAACTAGCTAAATCAATGAGATGAAGGAATCAAAGCAAAGGTGCTTTTAAAAACTAGAAATTATATAGAGAGATAAATAAAAGAATCTTTAAAAAAAAATTCCTGATTAAGTTTTATAGAATTCTGAGCTGGAGAGATGGCTCAGAGGTTAAGAGCATGAGAGAGAGAGACAGAGAGAGAGAGAGAGAGAGAGAGAGAGAGAGAGAGAGAG